TACCAAGGAAGAATCTAAAGTCCCCACAGGCCAAGTGATACCTAGCCTTGGTCTCACGGCTAGGGCATCGAGGCCAGGGTGGGCGTGGCCATGCCTCTGGATTCTGCCTGCCCACCCTTGTCCCAGAGGGGCAGTGAAAGATTGCGGGCTTGGGATAGTAGGGTACTGGGAGCCGGCATGGGGCACTATTAGTCTGGGACTAATTCCTCAGATGTCCACAGTGATTTAAAAGCACTTTAGGGGCACCTGGGTGGCTCAGTCTGTTATGCCTCTGACTTCGGCTCTGGTCATGATCTCTCGGTTGGTGAGTTCCAGCCCCAAGTCAGGCTCTGTGCTGACAGCTCTGAACCTGGAGCCTGCTTCAGATTCTGTCTCCCTCTCTCTCTGCCCCTTCTCTGCTCTCTCTCTCTCACACACACACTCTCTCTCTCTCAAAAATAAACATAAAAAAAATTTTTTAAAAACACTTTAGCTTTGGGGCGCCTGCGTGGTTCAGTTGGTTGAGCCTCCAACTTTGGTTCAGGTCATAATCTCCCGGTTGGTGAGTTCGAGCTCTGCTGCCTGTCAGCGCAGAGCCCGCTTGGATCCTCTGTTCCTCTCTCTCTGCCCCTCCCCCGTTTGCGCTCTCTCTTCTCCCTCTCAAAAATAAATAAACATTTTTTTTAAAGCACTTTTGCTTCTATTCAAATTTAGTCTCACAATCCTGGCCAATGTGCACTCTCCCCCATGGAGGTTGTGCTGTGCCGCACCCCACCCCCTTCTGTTTTCAGGACTGAAGTTCACTCATCTGAGTCCCTCCCTGGGGATGGTCCGTTCCACCAGAGAGCTATCTTTGCCCAAGGTCGCACCTGCTCCATGGGGGCAGCTCACATTCACTGATGGAGGCGTCCCACCCACCAACTCAGGACAACTCAGAAGGGTCACCCTAGCTCCGGGACTTCTGATGGCCTCTGTCTCGAGCAAGCTCAGACAGCCCCGCTTCTCCCCGCCTTTCCTCCACCCGTGTGCATTCTGAAGGCACACCCCAATAAACTTCTGCACACAAAAATCTTTGTCTCCCAGGGAACCTGTCCTGCAACGACTCGTCATGTACTGTTCCAAGCATTTACATGTATTGTTTCATGGGAACCTCGCAACAGCCCCAGGAGGTAGGTATGTTTGTTATCCTCAGTTTATGGATGAGAAACAGAGGAACAGAAAGGATAAGTAGCTTGCCCAAGGTCACAGAGCTAGCAAGCCGGCAGGGCTGGGGTTCCTGTGCAGTGGTCAGACTCCAGAGCTCCAAAGTATTACATAACACTGTCTTCCAGAACATTCCTGTGGTCTAGCCTCAGGGAAGTTAAACAAAAGCAACAGCTGAAGATACACTCTGATTTGAACAGAGGAAAACCTCTGTTGTCCCCAGTTGTTTTCCAGCAGCCTATTGCTGGTGCCTAAACATACACTGCCTTGGTGCTTAATTTTAGTCCAAGTGTTCTCATCTGGGGGCAATTTTGCTCCCCAGAGGGCATTTGTCAATGCCTGGATACTTTTGGTTGTCAGACCTGGGGGAACTGTAAGGGCATTTAGTAGATGGAAGTCAGGGATGCTACTCACGTCCTACAACACACAGTGCAGCCCGCCCCCCCACCCCGCCCCAAATCCAGCCCAAAGTGTCAGGTTGAGAAACCCTGCAATCTACGTTAAAGCCTGGTCTCCCAGAAGTCCCAGTGAAACTAGGCCTTGGTCAAGGGGACCAGAGCTACTTGAGTCTGGGGGTTGATAGAGAGTTTGGAGGGCAAACCTCCTACCTTGCAGTCCTTGAAAAACATGTATTATCCCCAGTTAACAGGTGAGGAAACTGGAGCATCAAGAGGGTATATGAGTAGTGAGAAGAGAGGAACATGCTCTTTCCCTCCTTCATAAGTTAACCACAGGTCAGCTCAGCAGGCCCAGGTTGGTTCAAGGAAAGATCACAAGGCTACAAGACCCCACATGATCCACTCATCCTTCACCTTTGACCTTCCTCCTGCCACTCTGTCCCTTACCTCTCCCTGCTGGCCACACTGTACGCCTTAACATGCCAATGCCACTCCTGCCTCAGGGCCTTTGCACTTGCTGTCCCTTCATCACTGAATAGTCTCTTCCAGCTATCTGGTCTCAATCCAAATGTTACCCTCTTGGAGAAGTAAGGCCTCCCCTAACTGCTCCACAAAAGGGCAATAATACCCTGCCTCCTCCTTATTCTCATTACCATGTGTTATTTTTTCCTCAGCACTTATCACTATCTAATGTACAATAGATTTATTTGTTTATCCTCCTCTCCCTTACCTCCGCACTGATTTATTTTTATTATTATTATTTTTTTTAATGTTTATTTTGAGATGGAGAGAGACACACACACACACAGAGTGCAAGTGGGGGAAGGGCGGAGAGAGAGGGAGACACAGAATCCAAAGTAGGCTCCAGGCTCTGAGCCGTCAGCACAGAGCCCGATGCGGGGCTTGAACTCAAAAACCGCGAGATCATGACCTGAGCCGAAGTCAGACGCTCAACCGACTGAGCCACCCAGGCGCCCCCACACTGATTTATTTAATGCCTTTTTCCCACTGGTCCTGTTTTTTTTAATTAATCTTTTTATCGTTTATTGTGTCTGTTATCAACCGTCTCTAATCCATTGTGGAATAAAAAGAAATACAAAAAGGATCTAGCTCGTGATCACATGAACCATTCATTAGACTAATCCTTCTAATATTTTTCTATCAAGATTTCCAAACAGCAAAGTGGAACAAACAGGATGCCATCCCACCTTCTCAAGCTTTAGGGGAGAAGCCTGAAGCTGCCACTAAATTTCCTGGGGCACCGGGGTGGCTCAGTCGGTAAAGCATCCGACTTTGGCTCAGGTCATGATCTCACGGTTTGTGAGTTTGAGCCCCGTGTCCGGCTCTGTGCTGACAGCTCAGAGCCTGGAACCTATTTCAGATTCTGTGTCTCCCTCTCCCTGCCTCTCCCCCACTTGTGCTCTGTCTCTCTCAAAAATAAATAAACCTTAAAAACAAAAGAAGGAAGGCTTAGTTTATTTATACTGGGTATCTTCTTCTACCTTTTGAATTTTGTGCTGTGTCCACTTATCATTTCTTTTTCGAAGCCACTTTTTTGGGGGGCGGTGGGGAGAGCAAGCATGAGTGGTGGGGAGGGGCCGAAGGAGTGAGAAGAGAATCCCAAGCAGGCTCTGTGCTCAGCACAGATCCTGACGCAGGGCTCGATCCCATGACCCTGGGATCACGTCCTGAGCCAAAATCAAGAGTTGTACGCTCAACTTACTGAGCCACCCAGGTGCCGCATAAATATTTAAATAGTACCTGGCCCATAGTAAGTACTACAGAAGTACGACTTACTGTCACTCTTATTTAAAAATCATATAAAATTATTCCGAGGGGGGAGAACTTGGGAGGGAAGGGAGAGCAGAGCTCAGGCTGTGGGGGTGGGGGTGGGGGTGCCCAGTCCGGGTGGATGGGTTGCAGATGGCGCTACAAGGAGAGCTACTGGGGGCAGCGGTGCAGGGTGCTCCTGAGAGCTCAGGAAGGATGCAGGCCTCCCTCGTACAAGCTGGGGACACACTCCCTGGCAAGATCTCAGAGTTTCCAGAATATTCCATGAAGCCAGAGGAACACTTCAGGGGAGACAATGAGACCTGGTACATTCGGGCCTCTGAGAGAAGAAACTAAGTACTTCAGAGGACACAGCAGGACTAGCCTTGGGCTCCTTGAGGACGGGGTCTACATCCTCTGGGTTGGTTTCCAGAGGGCTGCTGCTGGTCTTGTCACCTGGGCGATCAAGAGAGGGCCCAAGCCCAGGAACCGCTGTCTCTCACAAGCTTGTGGTGACAGTATCCTCCACCAGCAAGGGTTGGAAGGAGTAGAAAACTCGGGCTTGCTTACATGGATGTCTTTTTTGACCTTTTTGTTCTCCTGGAGACTGGCCAACTTGAGAGCACTCGGTAGCTTAGGACAATGTCTAAGCATTCTCCAGAATGTACCTGGCCCAAGAAACATGGAAAAAGGGAGAGGAAGCACTGCTTTGGTAATCCTATTTGGATTTTCAGGGGAGAATAATCAAGGAAGGGGGCAGCTTCTGGCGTTGGAGAGGGATGGATAATGTAGCTGGGGGCAGCAGCTAAGATAATTTATATGGAGTATCCCTCCCTCTGAGAATGCAGAGTTTCAGAGAGAATTCTCGCTTTACTCCTGTGCGTGCATGCACACCAGGACGATTTGTAAATCGAAAGGACTGACAGGTGTCCACAGCAGCTCAGGGACAGTGGAGAAAGCTGTGTTCCAGAGAACATCTTGGGTCCCTCCTCAGCAGGGATGTCGTGCTGGGAACACTGTATGCTAAAATCCACCATGGAGGGGCTCCCGGGTGGCTCAGTTGGTTGAGCCTGTCCTACTTCGGATCAGGTCATGATCTTATGGTCTGTGAGTTTGAGCCCCACATCGAGCTCACTGCTGTCAGCGTAGAGCCTGCTTTGGATCCTCTGTCCCCTCTCTCTCTGCCCCTCCCCCATTCACACACACACACACACTCTCTCTCTCTCTCTCTCTCTCTCTCCCTCTCTCTCTCAAAAATAAAGCATTAATAAATAAAACAAAATCCACCATGGAAAAGTTTACCTCAGCTATAATAGAAACGGAAGCTAAAGCTATTCTAAAATACCGTTTTTTCATGTAGGTTGGCAAAAGATCAAAAGTTTGATCACACACATTGTGTTGATCAGGGTGGAAGGAAGCAGCCTCTTTTTCCCTGGAGGGAGGGTAAAATCCCTGTGGGAGAGCATTTGGCAATAGCTACCAAAATGCTAAATGCATATTGTGGGCTAGGAGCGCCGCTTCTGGGAAGTTCAGCGACAGCAATCCCAGCAAAATGACATCATGCCATGGCAGCATTGTTTGTTGGAGAGAGTCTCAATTTCCCTAAATAAGTGGCAATAAATTAGAAGAAAACAACACAGTGGCATGCTCTACAGCCATCAAAACCAACAAGGACACTCTTTATGAACCGATACGGAACGAATTCCAAGAGATATTAAATGGGGGTGGGGAACAAATGCAGAAAAGTGGATGCAGCATGCCAACATCTGTGTGAAAAAGGGAAAGACGCGTGTCTGGATTTGCTTGATGCGCACGGAGATCGCTGAAAGGCAACTTAGACGGCGGGAACCACAGGCCGCAAGTTGGGAGGGGGCCTGGTGTCCTGGAGCTGCCTCTGCTCCCTGAGAAGGTTCTCGTCCCCTTCAGGCTCCACCCTTCCAGGAAAGAGCCCAGCCTGCGGCTCCCAGAGGGGGCAGACAGAGGTTGGGAAGGAGCAGGGCTTGAAGCCCTTGTAGCCACTTGGGAGTATGGGGACCTTACCCTCGTTCTTTAACCTCTAAGCCTCTGTTTCCTCTTCTGGTAAGCAGCGAGAATGATGGTGCTATTAATAAATGAGGCAGGACGTGTGTAAGCAGGGAGGATAATTGTACCACCTTATCAGGCTAGTGAGAGGACGCACAGACTAATCCAGGCGAAGAGCTTAGCACGGGTGCCTGGCCCTAGCACTGTGTCAACGGGGATTGCTTCCAAAATATATCTTGGTGTCTCATTGGCATTCTGACCCTTACAGGATCAAAAGACACTCCTCGGCAAGGCCAATGAGGCCCTTAGGGTCCACCTTACTTTTTTTTTTTTTTTCAACGTTTTATTTTTATTTTTGGGACAGAGAGAGAGCATGAACGGGGGAGGGGCAGAGAAAGAGGGAGACACAGAATCGGAAACAGGCTCCAGGCTCTGAGCCGTCAGCCCAGAGCCTGACGCGGGGCTCGAACTCACGGACCGCGAGATCGTGACCTGGCTGAAGTCGGACGCTTAACCGACTGCGCCACCCAGGCGCCCTGGGTCCACCTTACTTTTAACCTTCATTTCCACGCTCAGCCTCGCGTCCCCCTCATAGGAAGTGGTCTCTGTTCTCTCTGCCTGGAATGTCCTTCCTTCCTTTGCTTGACTTGGTCAACTTTAAGGGCCAGCTCACGTGTCACCCTCCCTGGAAAGTCTCAACCCAGAAGGCGTTTGTGATGCCAGAGTGCCTGGGGTGCCCCTCGGTGGGCACCATCACACCGCATGGTGATGAAGCCCCCGATCCTGGCTGGTACCCACGCACTTGCTTGCCACGATAAAATGGACAGGAAAAGATACTGAAGTCCACTCAAACAAGCCACAGCAAGACACCATCTTCTACCGCTCGGACTGGTGAACTAACCCCAACAGGTTTGGAGACACGGGAGGTGGATCTGTAAAAGGCAGGCACGGAGGCGAGAGCGTAAGTTGCCATGACTCGCGGGGCAACCGGGGACCCCTGTCCACATTTAGCAGGTGCGCACAGAGAAACGACCTACGCACAGATCTGCTCACTGCATCCGTGTGCAACAGTAGAAGGCTGGAGACTCCCTACGGGCCCATCCCCTGGGGACAGGTTGACTAAGTTACGGTAGAGCCACACTATGGAACACCACGCGACCAAGAAACAGAACAAAGAAACTTTTTATTACTGACATGGAACCATTGCCAAATGATACACTGAGAAGTGCGGGAGAAAGCCTGGATAGTTTGTATAGTATCCGCCACTGGGTAAAAAGAGGAGCGAGTATATACAAGCATTTGCATTTGAAACACAGACTATTTCTGGAAGAATAGGTAAGATAATATTGATACTAACATACTGGTAGCCTCCAGGGAAGAGAACTGGGAGTCTGGGAAACAGCGAAAGAAGGAGATGCTTAGTCATCACTTAGATCTTTTTCCTGTCTTTTAAATTTTATACTGTGTACATATATTATCTATTCAAAATTAAATAAAATAACTTTTTTAGGAAAGAAGGAAAAGCTAGTAATAAAATGGAGTTGAGGCTAAGCCACTCGCTCCAGGAGGAGGAAAAATACCTTGAACGTGTCTCCAGAAGCGAGAATGTCCATGGGAAATCATTCCCTCGGGCCGGCTGCCCCCTCCACCCGCAATGTGAGCTGACGTTCAGAGAATTAAGAACCTGTTTCAGTATGAGCCTGA